CTCTCTTCATTAGGCCAGGAAATACAGTGTGTGTTAGCCCTCATCATGCAATTAAGACACAACTGTAGCTTGGGAAAAAAGTTACCTAAGGCAGGAGCAGCTAGGGTCTAAAGAAAGAAAATTAAAATAAGCAGCAGCCATTAGGCAACAAAGGGCATGTGGAACAAGTGACAGGAATAAGTATGGATGAGTGTCACATAGCAAGGACACAGGGAAAAAAGAAGTCAGATCAATAATAGGATTGGCAAAGGTGTGAAAAGGAGAAACAAAACCAAAAGGAAGGAAAGACCAAACCAGGGAGGTGACAGGGGTAGCAAATGGTACCAAAGAATGAAAAGCAGTACAAAATGCCTGGTGGTATGTCACTGCATAATTATCTGACTTCACTATTTTTCCTTCCCTTCCACTGCTGCCATCGGCCAATAAATAAGATGATCCAAAAGCTTCATGACCCATGCTATGGTGGTTCTCTGCCACAAGCTCCAAAAGAGGAAACTGCTGGCCACGTAATGGCTGGCCTACATTTCCAGTGGATGTTTTCCATTAGGTTCAGCACAGAATTTCTGAAGAAACAGTTTGCTCGTTCTGTGATGGCACAGAAAGGTCTCACAATGTTTTCTTGAGCAGAGTAACATGAAGGCCAATAAAATTCTTCACCTTTGTCTTAGAGCTTCTAATTTCCCTTGGGGCTAGGAAAAGTTCCTTCATGAGGAACCTTTGGGAAGGGGGACAGGGAGGAGCTTTGCCATGTAGTGTGTCACACTGTCTTCATACCCACTGAAACAACAACCCAGTGTAAAGTGTGCTGCTTACATGGTGTGAGACATTTTAAATTTCTGCCAAATAGTTATGCAGATGTAATCTTTCATTTCCACTTACTTATTATCTTTAAATCCTCCCATATTTCTAACTTGTTTGCTGGCCTGTAGGAAAAATAAATGGAAATGTTAAACATTAAGAAGTATATTTTCCTTGGTAATTAATAAATATGTTCAATTAAATAGCAGTGCTCTAAGACAGGCTCATTTACCTACCATAATTACTCAGATCAGATTCAGGTTTACATCTACTTGCCTTATTCAAGAAAGCAGCATATAAATAACACAATATGAAGCCACGGAAAAGACATTCAAACTTGAATGTATAAATGTAGCACTTAGTGATGTCAATTACACACTGATATGATCAATTGTGAATTACTACACTAAGCAGTCAGAAAATGCCCAATGATGGTACAAAGTGGTGTTTTCTGGGGCCTTCATTCTCTCTCTATTCATTGCAGACTCAGAGGGCTTCCTGGCCTGGGTGTAATAAGTGCAGGATCAGAATTTCTACATCCTACTTGCTTGCAAGATTTACCACTGCCTAACATGGTTTTAAAGTTCATATTTGATGATCAGAAAACAAAGAGATCATGACCATCTGTGGAGAAGAAGTCTTGCACCATCTACTCAAATGTATGTTGATCTTTTTTCTTTTGTTGTGGCATGTTTGCTTTTTTGACCTGGTAATAAGTGCAGGATCAGAATTTCTACATCCTACTTGCTTGCAAGATTTACCACTGCCTAACATGGTTTTAAAGTTCATATTTGATGATCAGAAAACAAAGAGATCATGACCATCTGTGGAGAAGAAGTCTTGCACCATCTACTCAAATGTATGTTGATCTTTTTTCTTTTGTTGTGGCATGTTTGCTTTTTTGACCTGACCAATTTCTAAAATTTTATATATTCTGCAGTCAATAAAGCAAGACTGTAGATTGCATAGATATACCTGGACTGCCTAAGGTACACTGCATATTTATAACTACTATCCAGAGGTAATCTTAGCACTATAGCAGCAGCAGGGACAAGAGCAAGCTGACCATCCAAAACCTTCATCAGCCATTCTTGCCTGGTAAGCACTGTCAGTAAAGAATGGCTACTGTGGACCTCTCATGGAGAATGTATATTGTACAAGTCACTTAGGTGGTAATTTTTTAGGAACAGAATTAACACTTTAATATTTAGGGCCAAGAGGTCAAATTAACCTAGAATTTACAGTAACCTAGTTTATAAAAAGAAAAAATACACTTTTCCCCAGAAATCATTTCTCTTTACAGGCTCAACATGTGCACTTTGGCATGAGCTTGAACATTATATCACTTACAATACAAACAATGAATTTTCAAGTTCACTGCCACCAAATATTGCAAATGAACTGATATAATAAACTCCTAAATCTACAACTCCAAAAAGGGAAGAGATGGATTAAAGAAACAACAGCTGGAAGAGATACAAGGATCCATGGCACATACAAAACCAGTTATCCTTCTGCAAGCTATTATATGCAAGTTTTTAGAAGCTATTCTACAGCAAAACAAAGGAAGGACTGTTAAAAAACACAGTAATATTCCTATAGATAAGACACATAATGGGACTCAAAGCCATATTTGTTACTTGTGAGGGGTGAGTTTTTTATGCCGACTGAAGAGATAAAGAGAAGCCAATACATCAACATCAGCCAACTGTATTTGCACCTACTGCATCAAAACAAGCTCGTAAGCTTACAGAGTTTGTAAGCTCACACTTACAAAGTTTCTCCTCACAACACAAGGCAGCAGCCAGGTAATAGTTTTAGGCAAAGTGTTAAGCCTAACAGCGGAAATGAATTTTTCAGTCTTCATCTCCTGCGATTTACTAAGATTCAGCTGCTACTCAAAACTCAACTTTTATTTCACATTTATTTATTTGGAAAACCATTACTTGCTGTGGATGCAAAAAGCAACGCAAACATTTTGGAATAAAGCTAAGTGCTGAATAGGTGGGAGATATGCAACATCTGCAAGGCTCTAGCAGCAGGCACTTCTCATCTCATTCAATCAAATGGCTTGGAAAAGAAGAGAACAGACAGAGAGAACATCTCTGGTCTTGTGTGCTGCTCCCGCCCCAGAAGTTTCTCAGGAAGGCAGAAGACTTCAGCCTGCTTACACCCCTAACCTACCACTGGTTGCCCCAAATTTAAGGAAGTGAAAAGCAGTTTACCTAAGCCATAATATGATCTGTAACAATAACACAGATCCATAACATGTTAAGCCACAACTCAGATTACATGAAAAAAATAATACATCTTCAGGGACATTAAGAATCTTTTGTATATTCAGCAACAATGGCACTCAAAGGTCCAGAGCTGTTTGACTGATGTCCTCAAATGGAAGTGGAAAGAAAACAAACATACACCTCCATGCATAGCATAATAATGCAGAGCTTCTTCAAAGGATCACTTCAAAGTGGAGTGAGTCCTGAGGGTTTATTCCATCATCTGTGCCTACCCAACCCTTCCCCTACATTTTCAGTTCAGAAAGTTCAAGCATCTAGTTAAAATTTCCTCAGTGTAAGTCAAAATAGGAAGCATTAAGACACAAACTCCACTGTAAGATACACTCTAAACGGCCATCCATGCTTACAGAGTACCACATGTAACCAGCACTTAAAAGAATACTTGTTTTCAGAAATGCAAAACAATAATAACAAAAACTCTAATCTTTATTTTCACCAGGATTGCTGGAATTCAGAAGTGCACCACTGTACCCATAAACTGTTTCAACTAGTCAAAAAAGTTAAAGACACCAGATGTATTTTGATAAAGAATGCAATGCTACAGAGAACAAACCAAGGCTTTGTATGTCTTCACCACTGAACAAAGGATTACAGGCCATTGCAGACTATTTTGCTGCACAGTCTAGAAGACATACCTGATGATCCACAAGATCTTTTGCTCATTCTGTTTAATTTTTCATTGAGTAAAACTCTTACTATGATAAATACATTTATTCCATTAAAATTAACTTTTCCTAATTTCTTGCTGTTTGGGGTAAGTAATATTCAAATACAGTTGTGCATCCTCAGATACTTTATTACAAAAACATCATTCAGACTGGAATTCCCCCTTTAAATATCACATTCTGTTGCGCTGTTGTGGAAGTATTTGACTGAAAAAAAATAGTGACTGAATAGGTAACCTATTAAATGCTGGACAGCTGAAGTTATAGCTATATAAATAAACTAGTGGGAGGTAAACCAGAGAGACAGTCTAGAGTGAGTCAGAAAACCTGTGTTAACTGCCTACATAACACTTTTACTCCATGCCAGATGCTAAGTAGTTTACATTTAGGTATGTTACTTTATGTATTTAAAAATGGGCTATTTTTTCCTGCAGTTTTAAGGAAATCAAAGGTGCTTTCTGATAGGGAAGCATTTTTCTTAATTTATGACATGCCCCTATTTGTTCTAATTAAAAAAAAAGAATTACTTCTCATTGCTTAAATCCATTTTCAATCTCATCTTGGATACTTTCCACTACTACTCATATCTGAACTTGATCAGATTACATAAACATTTTTACAAACACAACATCAACAACTTACTCAGGATATTCTGTCCTGTTTAAGAGATAACTAGATCCTCCAAGTACTTTTATCTACTTATCTTATAAGCATTTCAACAAAAATCATGGCTCTCACTGCAGCACCTTAAAGGAAGTGTTATTTCCTGTAATGCTTGGAAAATGCCAGCCATACTTATCAAAATACATCTAACATGACAAAACATTTACACAGGAATTTGAAATATTTTAAGAGTGGTGACTCAATAGGACACAGAACCAAACCCCTGAATGTCCTCTACATTTTGCAATTTGAAAAAAAATTTTGTTCAAAACAAGTGGACTTGACCACAACTAAAACAGTCTTACCTATTTTTAAGAAGAGATGTGAGACTCTCAGAGTTCAGCTGATGCATTAAGGCATCCCTCAGTGTTGGAAGCATTGACAGTACTGTTATTAATAGACAAAAAACAACCAAACCAGAAAGCCTGTCAACATCAAAAACCCACAACTCATTATAACCCTATGCCCAGCTCACACTCAATAGCTGCTATACAGTGTATGCATCCCATGGCTCAACAGGCAAAGCTTGGAGGACAAGCAAAATAGAAAACCCTAGGAGTACTGGAAGTGCAGTTCCCTGTGTGCCTCTTACGAGCTCGGGCACAATGCTGCCGCTACCTGACTACATGTTTTTATGGGCTGTAGCTGCAATGTGTACTCACATCCTGCACACACACGCTTTCAACTCCCCAGAAGAAAATCTGGTGAAAACCTGCACTCCAAGTGAGAAGAAAAAGATCTGAGGTTTGTTTTTATTCCAACAAGAGAATCAGAGAAAGGTGTGTTTTAAAAGAAAGAAAGGTAGTGGGGAAAAAATCCTTTGCTTTCAGAACAATGCCCAATCTGCTGTTATATGATGGGAACAGGAAGTGGAGAACACAGTAACTACTAAGACCAAAGTCTGAAAAATCTTGATGGAACGCATGCTGCCAGGCAGACGATACTTTGTACAAAGAAGGGCAAAGCAAAACTTAGTCCTTGCAGCAAAATCAATCCCGGCAGCACACAATGAAAAAGATTAAAATGAAATACCAACTAGTCAGTGTAAACAAGGTGCACAGAAAGCATTTACAGCCACCTGAGAAGCCATTATAAATGTCAACAGGAAAAGAAAGTGCTGCCCAATTTGTTTTATAAAAATGGTTTTGAATGGGCTGTATTTACAAGAATGGCAGGGAATTTGTTAAACTCTATTCTGCCACCTCATCTCCAAAAATCCTAAAACCAGTGCTGTAAGACAAAGACTTTCAGTTTCTGCTCCCCAGCTAGTCAGGTACCTTTTAACTGTGTAGGAGATTAATAGGCTGATGTGCTTCCTATCTGTAAATCAAAACAACCCAAGTTCTCCATGCAGCTTACTAAAAATATGCTGTAATGATTACAATAATCCTTCTGTAAATTCAGTATTGTTTGAATCTGGATGTTGTTTCACACCTCAATACCACATGCAGTATAAGGCAAAAGGTTCCTGAAGTGACAAAACCCCGTAATCTGTATGTCTATTTTTATGAGTACAGCCGGATAAGGGTTCAGATATCCACTGAAATCCCTTCAATCCTTTGTTCTTTTTATTATGCAAAACAACTCTACTTATACACTAGTATTTAATTAAGATTTTGAATTCACCTACATTTCTTATTCTTCTTCCATCCTGACATTATGTAGCATAAATCCTCGAGTAATTTCATCTATCAAACCTAGTAGCTATTTCCTTATCTTACCTGTCATATTGCACGTCCTCTGATTACTTTCAAAATGATACTGTCTTCGTGCTTGTGCAATGTATTCAGCTGCCTCTCGTTCCTGGATTTCTCTTATTTTCTTCTGCCCATATTTTCCCAGTAAATAGACTCCTACAGAGAAACATTCGTATTATTAGAAGGTGCTTTTAAAAAGTGAGAAAGGTCCTTTCAGCTCCTTTCTTTGATTTGAAACCATAAGGGTGCATAGTGGGATTTTTTGGATACGTGGGTCTTGAGTATTTCAGTAATGACTGACACAGTAATGCTCAGAAATCATATATTCAAAATTAATTTAAATGTCAAGGGTAATTACTTAAATCAGTATAAGAAATTTTCCTGATAAGAGATATCTTGTTCACATGAGGTGTTTTTTGCACTGCAATGTGAAGAAGAGACTGAAGCAAATATTGGGAAGAGTTAAAAAATATAGGGTAAAAAAAAGAGAGTAGAGAAAATGAACAGAAATGCACAGGTCTGGAGATGGATGGATATTTTAAATTTTTTAGAAGATATCTTTCTAAAATTAGCGAAGTTAGTGATAAAATTCAAGTCTTAAAAATCACATAAAAGAAAAATGCTACAGGCAAACACTTCTGTCATTTGGTCCTGAAACTTCCATAGGAAGAACCTTAACTTCAGCGAGGCTTGACTGTGAGTCTTCTTTTTCACCATACCTGGTTCCTGCTTTCGAGCCCCACTGTTCTACCCTTGAGGATCTGACCATCCCTCATCACTCTCACTATGAATCTCCATCTCTACAAAGACCCACCAAAAATTTTTGCTCTACATTTTCTCCTCTCCCCACATACATCCCTTTCAAGTTTCCCCACACCACCAGAAGTTCAGAGATCTCTCCAGGCTGCCCACAGCCCTCTTCTCATCTTTCCTCATCTCTGCCCCCCCTTCTAACCTATTCCTCAAGATACCACTACATCTTCCAGGCTTATCCTCAGCAGCTTTGCCCACTGTAAGCTTCTTTGCAATAATTTCTCCCTCGCCAACCAGGGCTTCTTATAACACCTCCTGTGTAACAAGTTCTTCTGTTGCCTCCTGGATGCACTGGTAGCAGCAGTTACCTATTTAGGTGCGTAGTAAGTGTTTCCCATGCACTCTCATGAAAGAATTGGAGGGGGGACAGAGATAACAGAGGAACAAACCCAAGCAGAAAAGGCTACTGGACAAGGTTATCATCTTCTGTCTGCTGTGGAGCAATATGCTAAGTACTGAAACCCCTCTATAGAGAGTCAGCTTTACACAACAGAAACCTCAATAACAAATCCTTGTTTTTTCCACAAAGCACTTTCTAAAGCCATAAACACAGAGTCAAAGTTTTCTTCAAAGTTCAATTTTCACATTCAGTAGTTAATATTTGAACAAATGAGGCATTGAACATTCCTGAATGCTGAAAGTTTCAAAACTGATTTTATATACCAAATCTACAAAAACAAACAAAACCAAACACAAACTTCCCTTGATTTTGAATTAAGCCGAATTTTTTAGGTCATTAAAACCTTTTAATACATCCTCCAAAGCTATCATCACTATTTCAAAAGGCTTGTCAACTTTATGCTCCAATGTTCATGATTGCAAAAATATCTGGCTGCTCATACTGGCATTATATTTCCTAACAGGCAACTATGAGCCAGACCAGTTTGGAACAACCACAGACACTTCTACTTATTTCCCAAAAGCCTCATGAAATAGAAACGGGTGAGTCTCTCTCTCTTGCTTCAGCTTTTAGGCAGACCAACCACTTGCTGTATGGAAGATTCCCTCCATTAGACACAAACTTTAAAATTATGGTTCTATATTAAAATAAATGCAATTTGATCACTGAATTGTTCAGAGAAATGAGACCTCATAAATTAAAATGAGATTATTTTTCTCTAAAAAACTATCAATTCCTGCCAAGAATATCCATTTAGAGCACAACTGTCAGGGTCCTGATTTTTTTTTCTTTTCACTAACATACTGAAACAGCAGCAATTTTTTTTACGTTAGCAAATGATTTTTGAACACAAGAGTTTTCCAGTCATTTCACTCCACCACATTTTGCACATTATGTTAACACAGAGTAATTTGTCCAATGACTACTTTTGTTTAGTTTCACCTCTATCCTGAAACAAATCCTTTAACCCCAGGTTTTGTGGCAGAGAAGTCAGAGGTATAAAAAAAGACCCTCCTGAATGTAGACAGGACACAGGCAGACATGCAAACAGTTCAGAAGAATCATGTACATGCCCTTGAGTGATATGCTGGAGCAGCAGCTTTAAGACTGAGACAGCTAATTGCTCAATACTCAATTGTTAAAGTTGTGTGACTACTATGTACTGAGAACTGCAGTGCCCCGGGAGGGTCCAAAGTTGCAGTAGCAGTCATCCAAGTTTAACAAGGAATTTCCAGAAAAAAAACCACTTGTCCGAAACAAAGCAACACCAGATAATAGTCTTATTTCTCCCTCCCTTCCCTGAGCTAAGCCATAACTTTGACCCACAGCTAACAGATGTTGTTTAACCTGGTATCACCCTCATCTTTGGGAATGCAATGCATTAGAAGCTAACCAAGGTAAAAGCTGAACTATCCACACAGCTTAAGCAAAACCAACAAACAGGTTTGAAGGTTGGTTGTCAGCAGCAGAGTATCTCCATTACCAACTGCATGGCCTCTAAGTTGCCTGGAGGACATGGCACCTCACTTGGGAAATGCAAGTCTCAGTTGTGACAATGAACTTCTGCCCACTAGTTACTCATGCCTGAAAACAGCAGTGGAGCCTCTGCAAGTCTCTGGCTCATGGGACATTCGAAGGAGCTGCCAACCTGGGAGTCATTCTGCATGTGTGTTCACATTTTCCTTTAGAACAACCATGTGTATCTACATTAATACATGTAGCATTAATTCAGAAGACTTGACAATAACACTGATTAATACGCAGTTGAGAACGAATGCACCACACAACAACCTTGTCACCTGGAGCTGGAAGCAGAACCAGTGAAAACTACATGCCAATAACTGCCATAATGTCAAGTCAGCTAATGTACCTCTAAGAAACTAGACTGACAGTGACAGTTTCTGTTGTTATAAACAAAGTGAACACTAAATTTTTACACTAGTTAACATAACTGTTTTACCTCTCAGTATGGGATAGGAGGTCAGCAGCAGCAAGATTTTACTTATGTCTAATTCACTAAACTGTTGTATAGATGGAACTTAATTTTTAATCTTTCCAATATGTTTCAGATAAAACCAGAAATTAAGAAAATTCACAAATACTGAGACGGCCTAAAAGATAATTTCTATATAAACCTTTTTCTACCTTCATCAAAATGTGAACTATATGAATAACTATAGTCCCAATGTTTCTGATTCAGAGGGTTTCAGAAAGAGATGAGTGGTACGAACTAGGATTACATCACCTGATGACAGAACCTTCAAGTGCAGGAACCTCTCAAACTATACTTCATACTGCTTTAAAACTGATCTACAAAGTGAAATGTATTTACATTTGTATTGACTGTGCTGGATTTGGCTGGGATAGAGTTAATTGTCTTCGTAGCTGGTATGGTCCTATGTTTTGGATTTGTGTTAGAAACAGTATTGATAAGAGAGAGATGCTCTCATTATTGCTGAGCATAGTGAAGGCCTCTTCTGCAGAGGTGGGCGTGTGAGCAGCTCTGTGGGGCTTTAGTTGCCAGCTGAGGTTAAACCACAACACTGGGAGCACTCTGGGGGCTACAGTACCCATATTCTGTGGAAGCAACACTTTGATTTGAGATAAATATGCTCTAACTTGTCTCTGTAGCCCTCTTTGGCTGTGGTGCTGTATAGTCTCTTCCCACCTAAATGTAAATATGCAAGTAGTTTACAAAATCTGCAGGCTCTTACATGTTCATGCTAGTAGCCTCAAAGAGGTAGGATATTTCTCACATCACATAGGTTATGGATTACCTCTCTCTCAGACCTTTTCTTTCTTCACAGGTGGAACCGAAGGGTGAGCAGAAGGGTGGGATAGGGAACCAGGAGGCATCAAGTTTTCAGGAAACCTCTTTACAATCCTATGTAACCTTTGCCCTCACTGCCTTATTTACCTCAGAAAGAAAAAGGCGGGGAGGGGGGGATTTTCAGTTTTGAGAGTTTTATTGTATAGAAATTGTGCTGACACACAGAAGCCTGATCCTTCCAGGACACGGACAGCTCCACAAGTTGTGGTTTGTCCGTATGTTCAAGCAAGCCATGCATCAACTGACATACTATTATCCCATCATGCTTGAAAACTGTATTTAAAATATGCAGGCACTAAAGCCTCATTCTCTTTGCAATACTGAGTCCCACCAAAATGTACTTAATGCCCCCGGACTCGCTTGCAAACCAAGTCAATTTTCTCTGCTAAGCAGACAGACTTCTGAACTGCAATGTTCTGTCTGCAAGCCAAAGGTTGCAACAGATGAAATTCAGCAATAATTAATTCACCACTGAAATCAGACCCTTACATTGCAGACACACCCTGAACTTGCTCTTCTACTGCAGCAATAAAATTTCAACAGTGAACCATTTTGTAATATCCACCGAAATCTACCTTGAATGCTGAGTGCCAACATAAAAACCACTTTTAAGCAAATCTACCCATCCAAGAAGTGAACCTAATGCGTCCTCATGGCTCCATCATACTGCCTCTCTCTCTCCTTTACATATTTCTAGTGGCTTTGATCCCAGACCACTCAATTTTGCTTTGCTTGAAGAGATTTGAGTCTTTTTGGTACGCAATTTACTTCATATTGCTAAAAGAGCAACTTTGGAAGAAAGGGTTTGTACATGGTCTCTGCAAAGTTGAGGTCTTCTCAACCCTGCTCTATGATTAAGGGAAAGTTACACCTATTTTTCATTGCCTTTCCCCCCAATACGAGCTCCTATTTTGTGAGGTTTGTAACTTCAGAAGCAGAAGCAGCTATTGTAGTGCTTGGATTGACAGAAATTACACTAAGAATGACAGCCACTAATAACACACAAGGAATCCATCTCAGTAAACAAAGGAAAAGCTACAAACCAACTCAGATTTTTGGTGCAGTAATTCTTCAGTAATGCCACACTGATACAACACTGTATCAGTAACAATGAAGAGACTCTTCTGTACTGTCTAATGAACCATTAATCTCTATGTGCCAGTTAAAGATTTAAAACCATTAAATCTTGTGATGTCCCATTTTCCTTGTTACATCCTCCTTCCCAGGTAATGCACCTGCAGCTATTAAAAAACACCCAAACACCAGAGAGATGCAGATTCCAGGCTCTGGTATGCTTTTCTTAAATCATACAGCCACTTCCAAATATTCTGCCTTATGCAAAAGCAGCATGTAAAGTTGCATTCTTTCAAGATTTGGCAGTGTCTTCTGGAGCAGAGTCCATTGCAGATTTCAGGGTTCTGATTCATTGGTGGTGGCATTGCCATAGCTCCTGGAGTTATTTTAAGGTCTGATCCATAACTAGTGTGTCGATGGCCAACTCACTCAAGATTCAGCTGCTGAACAACTGTAATGCAGTGCTCTGCAGTAAATCACTCCATCTCCCAGCCTGCCTTAAAATACCATGGTGCAAGCCACAGCTGGTGGCAGCTCATGATGTTCACCTGTTTGCAAAAGCCCTGATTTACTTCAGCCTAAAATGCAAAAAAAAGCAATTCTCTAGAGTCCTCAAATACTATAGGGCCTGAGGAAACAGGTACTTGATCCAAGTTGCA